TGGTCCAGTAATTATTTGTTCATTATTATTATTATTATTATTGTTAATTATTGTTATTATTTTTATTATTATTGTTGTTATTGTTATTATTATTATTATTATTATTATTATTATTATTATTATTATTTATTATTATTATTATAGTGTTTTTGATATTAATTGGTATTTCTTTTTTCTTTGAGGCTAACTCCGCCTTGCACCTGCGGCTAACTCAAACCGTTGGCTTTATAAGCGAAAGCTGTGCTGTGTGGCTCTTTGTTTCCAGTGCGTGTGTGACTGATCCTCCTGTGTTTTGCTCTATTGCGAGCATGACTCGTACTTGCTGAGAATCTCCAAGTATCTTGCTGTCCTGATGAAGGTTTGAGAACTCTGTGCGCGTCTTGTGCAGCCGCTGCTGAGGAGCCATCCTGGTGTTGTTGCTGTTTCATTTCATTCTTGTTGATCTATGTTTTGTTATGTTTGTTTGTTAAATTATTTTGATTGAGTAAATCTTTATATACAGTTGAAGTCAGAATTATTCGCCTTTTTTTTTCATATTTGCCAAATGATGTTTAACAGAGCAAGCAAATTTTCACAGTATGTCTGATCATATTTTTTCTACTGGAGAAAGTCTGATTTGTTTTATTTCAGCTAGAATAAAAGAAATTAAAATTTGTAAAAAATATTTTAAAGTCAAAATAATTAGCCCCTTTAAGCTGTATTTCTATATAGTCTACAGAACAAACCATCGTTACACAACAACTTGCCTAATTACCCTAGCCTGCCTAGTTAACTTAATTAACCTAGTTAAGCCTTTAAATGTCACTTTAAGCTGTATAGAAGTGTCTTGAATAATAACAAGTCAAATATTATTTACTGTCATCATGGCAAAGATAAAATAAATCAGTGATTAGAGATGAGTTTTTAAAACTATTATGTTTAGAAATGTGTTGAAAAAAATCTTCTCTGAAAAAAATCTTCTCTGAAAAAAATCTTCTCCCCCCTGAATTATTAACAGGGTTAATAATTCAGGGGGGCTATTAATTCTGACTTCAACTGTAAATTTTTGTTGCGATTTTATTTTGGTAAAAGACACATATTTTTGTCTCTAAATGAATAGGGAATTGTACTTCTTGAGTAGCGTGTCATTTTTATGTTGCTCCCCCTTCCCGAGACGTGTATTATAAATTGGAGTTCATAACAAGCAGACGAAGATAAATCAAATGAAAAATAAATATCTGTAAGTTATTGCTATAAAAGACATTTATTTTCAATACTATAGTTTATTCCAATAATAACATTTATTTTATTCCAGCTGACAAAATCCTTTGTTAAAACCCTGCTGCTTACAGTGTAATGCTTAATATGCTCACGACTCCTATTGACTGTCTCTTTGTATTTTCATTGAACCTGTTTATGTGCATCGATTAATTTGCTCTTCAGTGTTTGGACTCTCAGTAGTGATTATTAACCACACTGAACTGAGATAAACTGAACTGAACTTAAACAATGAAAACTGAACTACACTGTTTCAATTTACTATGATCTTCTGTGTGAAGCTGCTTTGACACAATTTACATTGTAAAAGTGCTATACAAATAAAGGTGAACTGAATTGAACTGAATTTGCCCTAATTGTTTTTTAATAATAACTTAATTTTTAATTTTTTAATTATCTATTTTTCTTTACTTTAATTATTATAACCATTATTTTCTTTGTATTATCATGCTTATTATTTGTATTTTTTATTGTTGCGTTGTTATTGTTGGTAATTATTGAAAAATGTAACATAAAATCACTTGTGAAAAAAAAAACCTGCTGCTTTAAAACACATTAAATACAAATACTGTGCAAAACACTAAGCTACAATTTTAGCAATTATAATTTATATAATAATAATAATTTATGAACCAAATGAAGCAGCATTTAATTAATATAATAATAATAATAATAATATTGTTAATAATAATAATAATAATAATAATAATAATAATAATAATAATTAATCTATAATTAAGAACGTCACAGATTTAGTTTTGCTTATCAAGCTTGTTGCTATGTATTCTTAAATTAAACTACACTGTAAAAAATAAACCTTTGCATTTACTCAATGTTTTTAGGTAAGTGTTCGCAAACAACTGTTTTGAGCTGAATTTAAACGTACAAATTAAATTGAGTACTGTTCAACTTCATTTGTTTGTTTAAATTCAGCCCATATCAATTGTTTGCAAACACGTACCTTAATTAAACTGAGTAAATCCAATGAATCGTTTTCTCAATGTACTTGTACAAATAAGATTTAAAATACACAACTATTTATTTTATAGTATTCATTTCTAAACAAAAATAGTACCGTACTGAATTTACTAGTCATTTATAATTAAAAATATTAGACTGATATGATCTCCCACTGGATTTATTGGCATCATTCAATTCCTTTTCTACTAAAGAGAGCAGCTGCTGTAGGACTTGCCTAAAATGAAAGTTTCTTCACAGAGCTTCAATCCCCAGCATTTTGAAGCAGGCGTGTAATGAAATCTCCTCAAAAGCAGATGTTTTTTTTTTGGCCCATCATCAATGTGAATCTTCTTTTGTGTAAGTTTCCCCACAGTGTGGATTCACTCAATCTCATGAAACTTGTCACAGTACAACAACAACATGTGCTGCATTTGAACATTCAGTACTTGCTCTCTCCTTTCAGACTCACTTCGGGAAGTGAGAGTCAATGTCCTTTAGCTTCTGTATCTGTTAATCTTTACCCATTAGACACGCTGGCTTGGATGTTAACCAAACTCCAAGTGTGCATACCATTCGCACTGTGTATTGTATATTACTACTGAGCAAAAGTGTGGAATCAATAGGATGTACAATAAATATTGGACACTTTTGCTCATCAGGGCTGCATTTATTTGTTTAACAATATAGTAAAATGTTTGTTTTTATATGTGTTTCTATTTGAATGTATATCAAAAGCAGAATTTTTCAGCATCATTTCTCAAGTCTTTTGGTTTACATGATCCATCAGAAATCAGTGCAATATGCAGATTTAAACATATGTAAGGAGTACAATATGCAGATATAATGCTATATATAATGCTTAAATATAATGCTTAATATTTCTTGATACATTTCAATTCAAATGTATTTTGTTATTCACCAAGAGATGCATTAAACAGACCCAATTAGATTTATATTTGATCTGAAGTTAACTTATAAACTAATTCCAAGAGTTCACACTTAGCTGATGATTGATTATAAAGCTTGTTTGGCATGCTGTACCGGGGGAGAGCCCTGAGCTTAGAAGATCCTCGAGCCCGGGGCTCCCTCCCATTTGCAAGGCTAGATGGGAGTTTGAGCTCAGGTAGATTTCAAGAACTCCCCTGCTGTAGTAGATAATGAACAGATAGTGATTGCTCTTAAGAGAGAACTATATACTAGGTGCATGTCTATGGTGCGGATTTGGATAAGTCAGTTAACTTAAGTTGCATGTTTTTGGACGGTGGGAGGAACCCGGGGAACACGGAGGAAACCCATGTGAGCATAGGGAGAACGTGTAAACTCTGCACAGAATGTCAGCTGGCTTGGTAAGGACTACAACCGGTGACGTTCTTGTTGTAAGGCAACAGTTCTAACCACTGCGCCACCATGCCACCCATCTAGGAAAGGAGGAGGAGTAGGGGTGGTAGGGGAGATTCTTCAAAATGATCCAATCGGATGATTCCAAAGTCACTATAAATAACCCCAGTCTTAAATCCAAAACTATCTTCATCTGGAAGAAACCGCCCTTCCTTCCCTTCTCCTTTTCACCTAGATTTTGCGGCAGAGGCCCAGTGGTTAGCACTGTTGCCCCACTGTAAGAACACCACCGGCTCTGGTACTTACTGGACCGGTTGGAGTTTCTGTGTGGAGTTTGCATGTTCTCCCTGTATCCACATGGGTTTCCCCCTACCGTCCAAATATATGTGTCATATGTAAACAGACTAAGCCAAATGGGCACTATTGTCTGGCTCCCAGTATGAGTATTTTTTCTTCTCAAAGGAGTTGACCTTAGCCACTTGAGCTGGGGAGTTTTTGAGATCTACCTGAGCTCAATCTCCCCTCTCGCCCTGCAAACAGGAGGGAGCCCAGGGCTCGTGGATTCCTTGAGCTCAGAGGTTTCTCTTGGGACAGCATGCCAAACAAGCTTATTGTAAATGAACAGAAGTGTGAACTCTTGAAATATATGTTTATGCCATATAATAAAGAACAATAATAAAAAAAAAATAATCAAAATGTTTTTTCCAGCAATAAAAACTGTTCTCAGCATTCATAATAAAAAACGAATATTTTGTGAGCATTAAATCATCACAAGATTGATTTCTGAAGGATCGTGTGACACTGAAGCCTGGAAAGGTTATGAAAGCTTTGAATCATAGGAATACATTACATTTAAAAATATTCACTTAGACGACTATCTTTAAATTTAAAATAATATTTCACAATTTTCCTGATGTTATATGAAACAAATGCAGCCTTAGAGGACACAAGAGAATTTACAAACCTGACCTGCGGTCTATAAACTGAAAGAAATATTTAAAGTGATAGTTAACCTAAAAGATTATTTTAATTTAATTTAATTTAATTTAATTTAATTTAATTATGTCATCATTTTCACACCCTTTACTTGTTTCAACTCATTAAAAGTTTCTTTCTTCTGTTTCAGATGTACTGAAAACTTCCTCAAAACCTGTAACCATTGACTTCCTTTGTTTTTCCTACTATTGAAGTCAGCAGTTACAGGTTTTCAGCTTTATTCAAAATATCTCCTTTTGAGTTCAATAGAAGAAAGAAACTCATAAAGATTTATAACCACTTGAGGATGAGTAAATAATAAACAAATTGTCATTTTGGGGTGAACAGTCCCTTTAAATGGCTTTCATCTGTGAAAAACCCAGTCTGACCAGATGCACTTGTATAGTGAAGGGTTTAAGTTGAATGTACTTATGCATGCTGGAGGAATGATGGATGTGGACTCCTCTTACCTCCTCATGCAGTCCAAAGCGCGCACAAAGTAGTCTTTATTGAGCTGATGCTCGTCCCGCAGCAGACAGCACTGCTCCAGCGTCACCGACATTGACGTCCGGTCTTTGGCACTTTTACAGCTGGTGAAGCGGATACCATTCATCCGTCGACAGATCTGACAACACACACAGACAGACCATTGAGTACACTTTCTCTTTCTCAATATGGTGTTTAGAGTTTGAGCTCATGCCCTTGCATAAATGAATCATGCTTTTTTATGATTATATTGGGCTCACTGGGCGCATTGACTTCTATTTGTACAACTGCATTTACTACCCTGACGAAAATGAAATTTTTTTGTTAAAAGTAAAATTATAGTACTCATTTTTAATTTTTTTTTAAACTCAGGTTTATTCTGATTACGTACCTCTATATATATTTCTTGAGAGCGCCAAATATATCCCAGAAGGTACTTTTTTTTTGTAGTTTTTATTTTTACAAATCCACCAGAGGGCGCTGTGCATGCTTTTTAAGATTTTGAATTTCTCTCGTGAGTTCCATTCATGCCTGCAGTTCTCTTGTATATCCACCAGAGGCTGCTGTTGCTGACGGACTGAATGACTGACTGACCGACCAACCAATCCGACCAAACTTTTACTTTATTTATTTTAGTTTGTATGGCCTCCGTGATTTTTAATGAAGGCATTAAAAATCATGAATAAAAAATGATGAATTTATGTGTCAGAATTCAATCATTGTGGACAAATTGGCTTTTTACGTAAAAGTTTTATTAGTTTTTCTTTAACAGAAAACACTGTAAAAAATACTATATACTATTATAACATAATACAGCAACAAAAGTACTGTCAGTCTGTTATCAACATATTTTAAAAGTCATGTTAATTTAACTTAACATGTCAGTATTCATTTGTTATGCCAGTGCTTGAACTATGAAATTAATTTCACCTAAAAATTACCATTTCAAGAAAACAAATAGGGTTAAAATATATTAAACAAGTCTGTAAAATAAACTATTAAAAGTCCTGATAAGCACCAGTCTTTTGATAGTAAGTATTGTATTGTCGTCTTTCAGGTTGTATTTCAGCTTTAAAAGCTTTTGAAATAAATAAATAAAAAACAAAGCAGCTGCTCGTCATCGCGACAGCAATAAGATCCCATGCACGGCTAAACACTTTCACTCCAAAACGGTGGAATCGCAGGGCTGTTGCTGGGCGCTGCTGTTGCAATGGAACGTTCTATTGAGTGTCGCCACTTGGTGATTCTTTGCTCTTTGAGTCTGCTGACATATGCAGTAAGCCACTAAACAAACCAGTAACAGTGCACTGAAAAAATTATTCAAAGATGATTCATTGGATTTAAAAAAAATTTTTACCTTAAGTGGTTGTAAACAATTTATTTGGGCTGAATTTAAACAAACAAATTAAGTTGAACGTTATTAAACTTAATTTGAATGTTTAAATTCAACACAAATAAATTGTTTGCAACAGTTCTGCATGCAACGCTTTTTTCAGTGAGAAGAGCCGTCCATACAGAGGTAATCGGTCAGCTGGTAGCAGCAAAAGTAACAGCTTCATACCGCCCTGTAGCGTTCGTTTTAAAGACGAAATGCAGCCATATGTTCGTCTGGTTACACTGAAAAAAATTATTCAAAGATGATTCCTTGGGTTTACTGTTTTTTTTTTTTTTTTTTACGTTAAGTGGTTGTAAATGATTTATTTGGGCTGAATTTAAACAAAAAAATTTAAGTTGAACATTATTAAATTAAATTTGTTTAAATTCAACACAAATAAATTGTTTGCAACAGTTCTGCATGCAACACTTTTTTCAGTGTACATAATTCACGATCTCCAGAAATGTATATAGGGCTACATTTTCTAAATGAGACTGCTTTGGAAAATAACCCATGTTTTTTTTAACAGTAAAATTGTAATAACTATGTTATTTGGCGCATTGACTTCTATTTGTATTACTACAGGTACTACGCTTAAGAAATTTAGCCATGTTTTTATTTAATAGTAAAATTGTAATAACCATGTTTTTGGTACATTGCCTTGCATTGACTTCCACTGGTATACCTGCAGTCTTGCAACACTAAGCACAATTTTACTGTAGTTACTGTAGTAAAACTGTGGTTATAAAAATGGAAGTCAATATACCAAAAACATGTTTACTACAATTTTCCTCTAAAAACATGGTCATTTTTGTGTGGATGTACTGGTATATTGAATATACACAGTAAAATATATCTGTACATTAACAACTGTCCTTATGTGATTCATGTTTTCCCCTAGTACATTTAGGCTAGTGCATTGCATTATGGGGGCTTGATCTTTCCTTCAACACCTTTTAATGTTAAAAAGTAAACAAAAGAAGTACTTTCATTGACATTTATCAGAAGTTTGAAGTAATATATTGTCTGGGTTGGTGTTTTATATTATGTTACAAAACCTGCCAGTCCATTTTCTCTTATTTTATATACTTAAGTCTTTATATATTATTACTTATGCAGTGTTTCATTCATTCATTCACTTTCTTTTTGGCTTAGTCCCTTTATTAATCTGGAGTCGCCACAGCGGAATGAATCGCCACCTTATCTAGCATATGTTTTTTTACAGAGCGGATGCCCTTCCAGCTGCAACCCATCACTGGGAAACATCCATACACACTCATTCACACACACACACTCGTACACTACAGACAATTTTGTTTTCCCAATTCCCCTATACCACATGTCTTTGGACTGCGGGGGAAACTGGAGCACCCGGAGGAAACGCACGCGAACGCAGGGACAACATGCAAACTCCACACAGAAACCCCAACTGAACCAGCCGAGGCTCGAACCAGCGACCTTCTTGCTGTGAGGTGAACGTGCTACTCACTCTTATGCAGTGTTTCAAATGACTTAAATTTACTAAAAGTACTAAAATGTCAGTAAGTCTCTTTGTTAAGCTGCAGAGTTTAATTTCCACATCAAAAGTCAACAGATCAGAGATCAACATCCCATAATGCAGTTCACAACCACAAATACATGAAAAGAAAAACAGTGAATCATGAAATATGGAAGCTATTCATTAGCGGATATTATTACACTGTACTGCACATACTGCCAAACAAAATACACAGTGAGTTTCCTCTCGGACCCGGGGTTTTTAAAAGAATGTGTGATTGTTATAATAATGTCTCTGATGTCCAATTCATTCATGGGAGGAAGTGTGTTTTCTGGTTTGTTCAGTCAGTTATAATACAAAGGGGAGACGTTTCCATTTAGTACTGGATTTAATAAAAGGAAAAAGGCCGGAAGTGAATGTTTGCTGATTCTTCAATATTTTTAGCTGAAATTGTTGTTATATAATGAAAGTCAGCAATGGCTGTCGGCACTTTGAGAGTCAAAAAAAAAAAAAACTATCAGTCTGCCAAAAACTGAGCATTTATTAATTAATAACATTCATTCAATCATTTTATTTCGGCTTAGTCCCTTTTTTATCAGAGGTGTCCACAGCGGAATGAACCACTAACTATTCCAGCATATGTTTTACGCAGTGAATGTCTTTGCAGCCGCAACCCAGTACTGGCAAACACCCATACACACTCATTCACACACACACACACACACACACACTCATACACTACAGACAATTTTATTTACCCAGTTCACCTAGAGCGGATGTGTTTGGGCTGAGGGGGAAACCGGAGCACCCGAAGGAAACCAACACCAACACGGGGAGAACAAGCAAACTCCACACAGAAATGCCAACTGGCCCAGCCGGGTCTCGAACCAGTGATGTTCTTGCTGTAAAGCAACAGTGCTAACCACTGAGCCATTGTGCTACCTCATTTTTTAAATATTCCATACAAATTTTGTCTCATTTAATAGATTTCCCTCATATTTGTATAAAAAGGAACTATTAGTAATATTATTGGTACTATTAATACTATTAGTAATATAGTATTTAGTGCCTAGAAAGTTGTCATGTAGGCTTACTATATCCCAAATGTTCTGAAGCCATTCTGTAGTTTAATGTGAAGCACAGATGAATATTCAAGTGCTTAAATTCAAGTGCCTGTCAATCATTCTCCATTCATTCACAATTCAAACTGCATGTCACGCTCATGACAACATATGAAACTCTCTCCAAGATTATTTGTTCCTGTAATCATAAGTAATCAGTGGAGAAATGCATTTTGTTTTGCACTAAATGGGTATATTTTGACCTGCAACATAAAGCTTCTCAATCATGTTGCGCTGTGTCTGTTATCAGCAGATCGCATTCGCAACACTGGAGGAGAGAGGATTATTACCTGCTCTTCACACACAAAGTAGGCCTACCTGAAACTTTAAATTAGAGAGGGTCAATAATATATTGAACAGATCCAAAAAACGCACTGATTTCTACCCTTTGTGTTGCTCGGTTTTAAAAGTGTTCGTATACTGGAGGGCTGCGCACTGTGTCTCACTGACGGGCTGTGCAGACGCGACATGCGCCACTCCATAAGATTATTCTCACAATAAGTTTCTGTTCTCTCATTCTTCCGAATGAATTTATTCTTCCCAGGAGAATACTTTAAGTGCAAATTAGTTGATTAAATTAATAAAAGTGAAACTGACGGGCACAGATGGATTGTCATTAACAGAAAATCATTTAGCCTAAAATAGACTACTCTGAAACTGTGAATATTCATTCACTCATTCATTCATTTTCTGCCGCTTTTCCGGGGCCGGGTCGCGGGGGCAGCAATCTTAGAAGAAAACCCCAGACTTCCCTCTTTCCAGACAGAGGGGAGTCTGGGGTTCTCTCCTAAGACTGCTGCCCCCGCAAACCGGCCCAGGAAAAGCGGCAGAAAATGAATGAATGAATGAATATTCACAGTTTTAGAGTAGTCTATTTATATATATATTGGACAGATCATAAACGCACTGATTACTAAGTCTTGGTCCTATTACTAATTACTGGTCCTAACCTTCGACCACCACCTGTTCCACAATGCACCCCTGCAGGTGGTGGGCCTGCGGGAGGATGGTCCCACGTCGCTCCTACGGGCTAAGTCCGGCCTGATTCCGTGGCTCCAGGGTGGGGCCCCGGCTGGGCCATACCAGGCGACGTCACAGTCTTTGATGTCACTAAACTCATAAGGGGTTTTTGAACCGTGCTTAGTCTGACCTGTCACCTAAGACATGTTTGCCTTGGGAGACCCTACCAGGGGCATTAACCCCTGACAACATAGCTCTTAGGATTACTCAGGCACTAAAACCCCTTCACCACGATAAGGTGGCGGTTCATGGAGGAGCTTTCAGAGTAGCCTGTGAATATTTTACTGTCATTTTATTAAATTAATAGTTTATTGAACAGACCTGTTTGTCAGTTTGTGCACTGAAGCATATAAGCAGACCTTGTTTTGAACTCCACCTCAAATATTCTTGTTTATTTTGTGGATAACTGACTAACAAAAATACACTGAAATAACCAACAATATATACCAAGCAAAATTCGCTTAAAAAAATAATTTGTCAGACAAAAAAATAATTGTTCAGACATGCTTTTAGTTTCTCTGTCTCACTCCCGATGAGTTTAGACGAGGGATTATTAAGTAAAACTGGCCTCAGACGGTTTAGTTTAGTCTAGCTATATGTAGGCTTAGCTAAAAGGCAGGTTATTTTACCAACTATTAGAGTCAATAGTGGTAGCCTATTGCAGATTTCAAAGAAAAATCTTTATATTAAAAAAAGGAAACATAAGCTGGACCATAGCAGATCATATCAATGTCATAACGAATGCTCCAATAATGCAGCCCATAGTTTATAGTAAGCATCATGTTTTAAGTGCCGTCTGTCATGTATAGTTCTATGGGGCTGTTATTTGTACTAAAGAATATATGTTATTTGAGTTTATCAACAGAACTACAGAAACTGTATTATGTTAAAAAGAAACACAAAAAAAAAACAAACAAAAAAATGGCACAGTATCGGGATTGCATTTGTATCGGTCGATACTCAGAATTTTGATATCGGTTCCAAAAAAATTGTATCGGTGCATTCATTCATTCATTTTCTTGTTGGCTTAGTCCCTTTATTAATCCGGGGTCGCCACAGCGGAATGAACCACCAACTTATCCAGCACATTTTTGCGCAGCGTATGCCCTTCTAGCCGCAAACCATCTCGGGGAAACATCCACACAGACACACACACTCATACGCTGCGGACAATTTAGCCTACCCAATTCACCTGTGCCGCATGTCTTTGGACTGTGGGAGAAACCGGAGCGCCCGGAGGAAACCCACGCGAACGCAGGGAGAACATGCAAACTCCACACAGAAACAGTAACTGAGCCTAGGTTCGAACCATCGACCTAGTGACCTTCTTGCTGTGAGGCGACAACAATACCTACTGCGCCACCGCATCGCTGGCGTATCGGTGCATCCCTAATAGTAATTGAATTGAGCACCGTGATTATTATCCCCCAGCCGATTTGAGTTCAAGACCCCTGCTTTAATGCATGCAGAATAATAAGATGGATGTTCTGCTCAAACGTGAATGCCCAGAGGACAAACAAACGACTAAAAAGCGAACATTCTGAACTTTGATGACAATGTTAATTCATCACACTGATCCTGCAAGCATTTTGCAAATGCGAGGTTGTGAAAGATCTTGCACACACACACTTCCTGCACAGACTCCTCAAACTCTCACCGTTCCTGCAAGCCACAATATCTCCACGTTCTTCCTCTTCTTGGTCACTACATTCTGTCCGAGCGTTTCCAGCAGCTCCTTAATGTCCGTCTGCGTCTGAAAACTCGGCAGACCTTTTGAACAGAAGACAGAAGAGAGAAACACTTGACATGTCATGCATTTGCGGCTTAGGCCTTGTTTTGTCTCTGTATAGACGAGTACTAAAGATCAGATGGGAAAAAGTCTAGGGACATTTTTTCTGATAAACAGGGAGATGGATGGAAGACAAGATGTGACATGCTGAGATGCAGTTTGGCATTCGTCTGCTGGGATCATTCATCATCTGAAGCCGTCACGCTCTGCAGACGTGATTGACATATCAGAGAAACAAATTCCTGCACTCGAATCCTTGAAATATGAGGCGATATGCTCAGCATTAAACACTGAGAAGGAGACGCATGCGGACGTGTTGCATGAATAAAAAAGAGGGCTAAAGAACGAAATCCTGCAATTGTAGAAGTCGCATATGCATTTGTAATTTGGAGTCTGTATGTCTTTTAAAAATGTTTTTAAAAGTCCTGTGTAGGATTGCTTTACATGACACAGAATACACTACGACACAACTTGATTCTAGTTGATTTAATATTCATTTGGCATCAGAAGTGGCTTGGTCCCACTTTATATTAAGTGTCCCTAACTACTATGTACTTACATCAAAAAAATAAATACAATGTACTTACTGTGTTTATAATGTATTTGAGAACACTTGTGGTGCTCTTGAGTTGGGATAGGGGTTGGGTTATGGACAGGTTTGGTGGTGTGGGTAGGTTTCAGGGTGGGTTAAGGTGTAAGGGATGGTCAACAGTGTATTTACAAATGTAATTACAAAAGTTAATTACAGATGTAGTTACATACAGGTATTTAATCAAGCATAAGTACACAGTAAATACATGTCTTTACACAATAAGTACATTGTAACAAACTATTAATTACTATGTAAGAACATATTAGTTAAGGCCACTTAATATAAAGTGCGACCAGTGGCTTTTATAAAAGGTAAAGGCCTCTAGATTACACTTATTTTACCTAAATTAAATATGATCATGCCTTGATTTTTAATTATTTTATTAGGACAGTAAGGTCTGACCTTGTTTAGACAAAAGTCTTGTCACTTAACAGAAATAATGTCCAGTATAGAATATAAAGTCCTGCTGCAGTGGAAACAAATAATATTGTGTCTGACTCCATCATGAGCTTTGAGGACTGCATCCATACATCTCTGCACTGACTCAAATCACTGATTAATAAAGTCATCTGGAATAGCAAAGAAAGCGTTCCTGCAGGACTCACAGAGGTAATCAAGCTTCTTTGGATTCATCTTCAATGCCTCCATCTTACTTCAGACATGCTCAATAATGTTCATGTCTGGTGACTGGACTGGCCAATCTTGGAGCACTTTCACCTTTTTTGCTCTCAGGAGCTTTGACGTGGAGGCTAAAGTATTAGGAGGAGCGCTATCCTGCTGAAGAACTTGCCCTCTCCTGTGGTTTGTAATGTAATGGGCAGCACAAATGTCTTGATACCTCAGGCTGTTGATGTTGCCATCCACTCTGCAGATCTCTCACACGCCCCCATACTGAATGTAACCCCAAACCATGATTTTTCCTTCACCAAGCTTGACTGATTTTCTTGAGAATCTTGGGTACATGCGAGTTCCAGTATGTCTGCAGTATTTGTGGAAATTGGGATGCAGTTAAACAAATCTACCTTCTGCCACTTTTCCAAATGATCAACTAGAAGTCAAGTTATTATTTGTTACTCTTACAACTGGGATCCACATCTTTAAATGTCACTTTAAGCTGTATAGAAGTGTCTAGAAAAATATCTAGTCGAATATTATTTACTGTCATCATGGCAAAGATAAAATAAATCAGTTATTAGAGATGAGTTATTAAATCTATTATGTTTAGAAATGTGTTGAAAAAACCTTCTCTCCATTAAACAGAAATTAGGGAAAAAAGTAAAGGGGGAGGCTAATATTTCTGACTTCATCTGTATATATATATTGTTTGGATAGCAACAGTTAAAATGAATGAAATGTTATTTTCAACTGAACTAAAATAGTTATTTGAACAAATATTTAAATCCAGATTACTAGAGAAGTCTTGTTTTCAAAAAAAAAAAAAAACTAAAGGTTAAATAGATTCATGCTTCAAATGAGAAAAAAAGCCACTGTGCAAAAAATACTGGCAATTGTAACGAAAATTTTCACTTGTTTTATGCACGACTTCACTTTCAAGAGTTCACAGTTAGCTGATGATTAATTATAAAAGCTTGTTTGGCAGGCTGTCCCGGGAAAGAGCCCTGAGCTCATGAGATTCTCGAGCCCAGGGCTCCCTCCTGTTGCAAGGCGGGAGGGGAGTTTGAGCTCAGGTAGATCTCGAGAACTCCCCTGCTGTAGTAACCAATAAACAGTAAGTGACTGCTCTTGAAGATAACTACATACTAGAAGCATATCTATGGTGCCAATTTAGATTATTCAATTAACTTAATTGCATGTTTTTAGGCGGTGGGAGAAAACCGGGGAACCCGGGGGAAACCCACGTGAGCACGGGGAGAAGTGCAAACTCCACACAGAAATGTCTGCTGGTTTGGTAAAGCCTGGAACCAGAGACATTCTTGCTGTGAGGCAACAGTGCTACCCACTGGGCCACCGTGTCTCCCATCTAAGAAGGAGGAGTAGGGGTGGAAGGGGGGATTCTTTAAAACAAATATAGCAGTGGAATGAAACCCAGGGTATTTATAGTAGTTTAGGAGTCATCTGATTGGAGCGTAGTGAATTGGATAATGCGGATCCAGCTGCTAGCAATCATCAGCACGTGATCCTCTCGAAATTTGTTTATACATAAACTTGACTTAACTAAACCATTGACTTAAAAAAATAAACAAGCTCGTTTTGTTTCTCAAGTGTGCTTAATCCTGCTCCATTTCAAACCGGCTAAACTTATTTGTTATTTAACTATATATGGAAAAGTAAACATGCTTGTTGATTATGAAGAAATGTATTTTCTTTGAAGAATTGTTTTAAGTGTATGATATTCTGTAAGTAAATGTACTTTGACTTATATTTGTATTGGGAAAAAAATATACCTGCAATAGACAACACCAAGTTCAGCTCATTTCTCAATAAACCATTTCCGATGTTCCTCAGTTGCATGTCATTTTGGCTCAAAAAAGCACCTTCTTAACATGCTATAAATCACACAGAGTGCGGCACTTACATTCCGACGGCAGCGTGTTGCTCAGCGATTTATAGTAACCTTCTAGAATCTCAAAGTTTTTCTGGTTTATTCTCTCCTGTAAAGAAATGTCACCAAACCTGAGAGAAAACACAGAGAGAGAGAAAGTGTATGAGCTCAGACATTCACCACGGCTTATGGGATTGAGTTTCAAGTGTTTCACTGAGTATGTGTACACAGACACCAATACTTAATAAGATTAAGACAATACTCTGATTGCTAGTCCTTCATGTAAACAGCGATTTTTAATGACCTTAATCAGAGTTCATAATCATATTAACCAGATATGGGATTATGCCATGTGGAGTATTCCTATTTTAGATGCATCATTGAAGTGCAGGACAGACATGTAAAAACCTTAATCAGACTGCTACCGTTTTGTAGTACTTCTCACTACATTTTGCAACAGGACGGACACACGGCAGTTGTCAGGCGTTTGACAACCAACACATGAGAATGGCTTCGAGCAAAAGAGCATATTTTTGGTGCGAGCGAGAAACGATGACTATGCTGAGAATTCTGAAAGAAATTGACATGATGAAGTACCTCAGAGCTTGTCACAAAAGCACAGATGAGAAGTTAATGTCAGAAATGTCAGAAATTGTATTTGAGCACTGTAAAAAGTTAAATTACCTTGGGCCAAATTATCCCATAAAGTATACTTGACTTAAAACAGCCTTTTCAGTCATTCATTTATTTTCTTGTAGGCTTAGTCCCTTTATTAATCTGAGGTCGCCACAGTAGAATGAACTGCCAACTTATCCAGCAAGTTTTTACACAGCGGATGCCCTTCCAGCCACAACCCATCTCTGGGAAACATCCACACACACACACATTCACACACACTCATACATTACGGACAATTTAGCCTACCCAATTCGCCTGTACCACATGTCTTTGGACTGTGGGGGAAACCGGAGCACCCGGAGGAAACCCACACGAAAGCAGGGAGAACATGCAAACTGAACACACAGAAACCCCAACTGAGCCGAGGCTTGAACCAGTGACCCAGCGACCTTCTTGCTGTGAGGCTACAGCACTACCTACTGCGCCACTGCCTCACCCTTTTCAGTCAACTTAAAAAAATTTTGGCACAACTTCAACCACTAGAGCTTAATAAACTGAAAATTTCTTTGCAGCAGGTTGCTTTAAATATTTACGTTAACTCAACTTTTTATTTTTTATAATGTAAGAAACAAACTGCAGTTGAACTTAAACACCGAGATCCTCACTTTGGGAACCACTGCAACTCTCGCATGGTCGCCGCCGGTCAGTACCTGGATGGGAGACCACATGGGAAAGCTAGGTTGCTGCCGGAAGTGGTGTTAGTGAGGCCAGCAGGGGGTGCCCAACCTGCGGTCTGTGTGGGTCCTAATGCCCCAGTATAGTGACAGGGACGCTATACTGCTCAGTGAGCGCCGTCTTTCGGATGAGACGTTAAACCGAGATCCCGACTCTCTGTGGTCGTTAAAAAATCCTAGGATGTCCTTCGAAAAGAGTAGGGGTTTAACCCCGGCATCCTGGCCAAATCTGCCCACTGGCCTTTGTCTATCATGGTCTTCTAACCATCCCCATATTCCAATTGGCTTCATTGCTGTCTCCTCTCCACCAATCAGCTGGTGTGTGGTGTGCGGTCTGGCGCAAAATGGCTGCAGTCGCGTCATCCAGGTGGATGCTGCACACTGGTGGTGGATGAGGAGATCCCCCCCATTGTGTGTAAAGCGCTTTGAGTGCCCAGAAAAGTGCTATATAAATGTAAGGAATTATTATTATTATTATTATTATTATTATTATTATTAACCCACACAAACACTTTGGATTTATGAAATTATTTACGAATTATGAAAACAAAAACTTCAGCACTCTTACTTCTCTGAGCACAAACATGCTATTTTCTATAACTAGCACTTGTTGTGTGTATTGCCTCTTCTTGTTGAATCACTGAATGTCTCCTCACTTGTAAGTCGCTTTGGACAGAAGTGTCTGCTAATTCAGGGGTTCCCAAACTTTTCAGCCCGCAACCCCCAAAATAACAATGCCAGTGACTCGCGACCCACAATATCCTCTGAGGTATTTATGAATACAGTAATCTTGCATGCAATGGCGCACACACACCAATAGACCTAATTATTCATCTTTTAATTTTGTGAATGTATGTCAGTGCTGTAAATGGGCCAGAAAGTTTGACCTGGTGTTATAAAGTCAATCTGCTGCATCTGACACAGTTGTCTTTAATATAATGTAATTACCCCAGGGGGCGCAATCCAATAGAACTAGTAACTATAAGCTACTATAGTAACTATATAGTATATAGTAACTATAAACGAATATTTTTTCTTTTCAGTAGGTTATGGATAAAATATGGCAATTCTTAAAAATAAATAGATTTTTGGAAACCACCAGACAATTATAAACCCACCCACCCCCGGCCCCCCTCATTGTCCGGCGACCCCTTCGGGGTCCTGACCCCCACTTTGAGAACCTCTGTGCTAAAAGACTAAATGTAAATCACATATGATGCCATGACGAACACAAACTGTTAGCATTGCTTGAAACTAGCATCGAATGGTGACGTAATGACGTTAATTGAGCTATGTACTATAACATGTAAAGACCATCTGTACCTCTCAGCGATGGTCTGTTGTTCGTTGATGCCCACATTGAAGAGCACAGGGATGACGTGTAGCAGCTTGCCCTGGCGCAGCTCATCCGGCAGCGTCTGGAAGGCATCATGTGGCAGAGGCACCTCCACAGTGTAACGGTCTCTGCCATTAAAACAGGTCACATTTCCACACAGCATCAATACTATCACGCACAGGTTCACACAGTAGCTGCTTTTCTGTTGATACTCGTTTTAGACTGCATGCATATCAGCAATTAGGACTGTCCAAAAGGAAATCTGGCAGACGATCAATTGTCTATGAAATAATTGTGATTATGTGGTTAATTGTGTGTTGTGATGCTTTGGTGATTAATGTTGGATGCTTTCATGATTAAGTGTGCATTTTGTTGCTTTGATGAAAAACTGTTTGGTAGCTCTCCAGAAATGTATATAGGGGTACATAATCAGAATGAGCCTGGGATGACCAAAACACCTAATTAATCGTAATTAGGTGTTTTGGTCATCCCAGGCTCATTCTGATTATGTACCCCTATATACATTTCTGGAGAGCGCCCAATACATCCCAGGAGGATTTTTTTTTTGCAGTTTTTGTAAATCCACCAGAGGGCGCTGTGTATACTTTTTCATATCTCATATTTCTATAGTAAGTGCCATTCACGCCTGGTCCTGTAAATCCACCAGAGGCCGCTGTCAACTGGCTGAACGACCAATCGTCTGACGCACCCTCCTCCTTCCGTAAACCCAACCGTCAGTGTTTTCAAAAGCAATCCAGAAAGAGAAAAGCCCTTGCTGCAGCCTGATTTTTAGATTTTCAGATTTTACCACATTCTCACCCTGTTATTTACTTGTTTATTTTATCTTTTGCCCTTTGTTTTTGTCTTACCTGGGGGCTGTTCCATAAACCAAGTTTAGAGAAAAAGCCAGGCTTATTTTGGTAAGTTAGGTTTATTAATGGCGGATTCTGTGTCATAAATGAAATTTACGATAGTTACTCAGTTACTCTGGCAACTTATGCTGGGAAACTAGCAACACAGGCTGTTGAAATGATTGCGTCAGTGCCAGTAGGCTTGTGGGCATGATGGCACTTTACACATCCTCAGATTGAGTCCTGACTTGTAGACGTTTTTGGACTGTCTGCTTCCCTTTCTCTCTGTGCTTTCTGTCAAGTGATAAATGATAAAGACAAAATTACTGAGAGTTAACCTGCCGCAGACCAGGCTAGTTTCCAACCCAGGCGCCTTCTGAAAAAGTAGTCCCATGGACGTTTCTGGAGACAGCGAATTATGTAGCCGGAGGTACGCATGTCTGCATTTTTTTTTTAAATGAACGCTACAGGGGGGTATGACGCCATTCCTTTGACAGCTTTCCTGCTGCAACCAGTTTGATCTGTTAGCTCGTCATGTACGTCGGCGGACATGAGACGCAAAGAGGAGTTGACCACTATGACGATGGCTTCAAGTCCAAGGAAGAGCGGTTCCAGAAATCAGGTAAGACAAAAACAAAATCCAAAAAATAAAATAAACAAGTCAAAAACAGGGTGTGAATGTGGTCAAATCCGAAAACGTGGTAAAAATGAGACGAGGGCTTTTCTTTGTCTGGACGGCTTTTGTAAATCATCAGTAGGGTTTAGGGAATTGAGCGGGTGGGCTGGTAAATCGATAAAATTGGTTGGGTTTAGGAAAGGAGGAGGGTGGGTCAGTCGATTGGTCGGTCGGCCAGTCAGTCATTCAGACAGTCAGTCAGACAGACAGTCAGTCAACAGCTGCCTCTGGTGGGTTTACGTGAGAACAGCAGGCGTGAATGGAACTCGCGAGAGAAATTTGAGATTTGAAAAAGAGCACACAGTGGCCTCTCATAGATTCGCGAAAACAAATACTGCAAAAACTGCAAAAAAAAACATACCTCCAGGAACAAATTTCACGGTCTCCAGAAACGTCCATAGGACTACATTTTCTGAATGAGCCTGGGTTGGAAACTAGCCTGGTCTGGGGCAGGTTAACTCTCAGTAATTTTGTCTTTACTATTCATCACAGAAAAGACTTGACAGAAAGCACTGAGAGAGAGAAAGGGAAGCAGACAGTCCCAAAACGTCTACAAGTCAGGACACAATCTGAGGATGTGTAAAGTGCCATCATGCCCACAAGCCTACTAGCACTGACGCAATCATTTCAACACTCTCTGACACGGTTCATGACTGTAGGAGACCTGTTTAAGAACACACATATGCATTCAAACTCATTAACTATCTTTGTGTGTGTGTTTGTGTGTGTGCACCTGTTTATGTGGTTTATGAGGACACAAAATTGTATAATGACATGGGTGACCTAGTTGTACTCTATTAAGGAGGTTTACGAGGACATGTCTTGACATTCAGATGTCTTTCAGATTGAGAATTTGATGCTATGGGTGGGTGTAAGGTTGGGTTATGCTGTAAGAGATGGGCAACATTGTGATGACAATTGCAATTACAGAACTTAACTATAGATGCAATAACATGCAAATAATTAAATATATAAGTACAATGTATGTGAGTGAGTGCACCTGTTTATGTGGTTTATAAGGATACAAAATTGTATAATGACCTAGTTGTACTCTATTAAGGAGGTTTACGAGGACATGTCTTGACATTCAGATGTCCTCGTAATTTAAAATGCTTTAATTTAACAAGATTTTTTTGACATTCAGAATCTGCTGTGTTGGTTGGGTTAGGAGGTAGGGGTACTTATATAAGACCATATAAGGATAAAATACATGACGCCTATGGAGACTCCTTGTAAACTACACGTACGAGTACATGTGTGTGTGTGTGTGTCTCACCGTCTACCGCTGATGATGGGCGTCAGACTGGCTGAATCCTCAGAAAGCGCCTCTGTGATCCTGAACGTCACTCTGGTCAGATCTGAGATGCCCACCTCCATGTCCTCCAGCATGCCAATCTCTTCACCTGAGACACACACACATTGCTCTTACTACAGTATACACACAACATACAGTATGTTGACATGACATTTGAGTCCTCGCTCCCTCATCCTTCCCGAATCGTGACAAAAACAGGTTATTAAAAACAGATAAAATAACAGACCCCCCCAAACAACAGCTAAACAGATGTGTTTTCAGTCTTGACTTGAATGTCCCTAATGTTGGAGCACAACTGATCACTTCAAAAAGCTGATTCCAGCAGCTAGGGGTGTAGTAGCTGAAAGCCGATTCATATATTAGGTAATTATTTAAATGAACTGTTGTTATCATCTGTTCATACATACATAATCATTTTAAAGAGCCCATATTATACATGAAATAGGGTCATATCTTGGTTGTAAGGGTCTCCAACAACAGTCTAATATGCATGCAAGGTCAAAAAACACTTTCATGGTCTTATAATCTGCATTTATTTTTACCTAATTATCCCAGCGACTCCTGTATGAATCGTTCAGGGATTCATTTGTTCCCAAACCCCTCCTTAGCACGAAGCTAATCTGCGCTGATTGGACCAATGACAGCCCGTTGCGATTGGTCGACTGCCTTCAGTCAGAGAGTAAAATGCACAACAGCTAATCAGCAATATAAAAGTAATCACAGTTCATACACACTCGATAGTGTAGGCGTGGATTTTAGCTGCCAGTGGGTCAATGTAAATACAGACGATGGACTTGAAAATTTAGACGATTAACTATTTTATTGAGCAAAAACTCCAAAAACTGTCGAGGAGATATCCAAGCTTGTCTCACTCTGCTCTTTTCACAGACACAAACACACACACACACACACACACACACACACAATGCCATCGTTCGCGCACACAAACACAAAAACACACACAGAACTTCAGGCGACAACGCGCGCGCGCACACACACAAACACACACACATACCTCTGGACGACAGCGCACGCACACACACACTACCCTCTTCCACGGAGCTCCGTAAACAAAGCAGCACGCGTCGCGTGACTTTGCACGCGATAATAGAATATAGCCAGTTAACCTGATACAGTACACGCGGTTACAAGTAACAAATCACAACTAAATACATTTGCAAGCTAGAGTCAACGAGGCAACAACTTTAATCGCACGTACTTACACTTGAGAAATGGAGGAAGAAACCCATCCTGACGTCCATCAGTAAGTTACTCTTTACTGATCCTTCCTTTAACAAGCGCAGATGATGTATTCTTTGTAGCATGTAGTTTGCAGTAGTTTCCAGTAGTTTCCAACTGCTTGGTTATAATGCTGAGGTTTCAACTTTGGGTAGACCCTCGATAATATCCATCTGCAGTGTGACTTCAATCGACCGGCATGTTTGTGTGCGTGTGTTTGTGGGTGTGTGTGTGTGTGTGACTGGGTTTCTGCGTCAGAGGGCGGGGCCCTCAGAAATCTCCCGGGTTTGCGCGTGCACGTAAAATAACTTGGTTTCGTTCGTACGTCATGGCGAAACACCTAATGACTCGGTATCAAGGCGACTCGTTTGAAGCACTATGAGTCGACTCTTTTATAGATGAATCAACCGTTTTAAACACTGTATTCTTACAGATTTAAGCCTTAGCTGGATACTTCACTTCACTTAGAGCTGTGTTACACACTAGATGAAGGGGAATTTTCAAAAACCCATAATATGGGCTCTTTAAACATTTGTAATAATTATTCTAACATATCTTTTGTTTACATTGCACTAAAAGCCATTTTACAGCTTGAGATGTCTTCTACTGGGCTTCGCTCCGCTTGCGTGCGCATATTCGCAAAAAAGTCGCGATTGTGAATGGCCCGCTGCTATAGTTAATCCAGCGTGTGTGTGTATTAGTCTTGGTGTATAAGCTCGGAACTTTAAACTCGCCCACAGGTGGCATAAGTTTTAGTTACAACAGTTTCGTTCCATGCAACAAAAACGTGGCGTTGAGAAGCCTTTAATATTATTTAAGCATGATGAATTAAATAATAGTGAAATCAGCAAATTGTTGAGATATCAGTGAATTGTACAAATAGACTTTTCTACAAATACATCTAAATGTTTTCGGCTGCTCATGCCACTCGCTTATTGTCAGGTGACTCACACTCTGCACAGCCTTCAATTGCAGCTTGTGCTGTATTGAACAGATGCACGTCACTTCATAACTACAGCGACCGTTTTTCGACTGAACTAAATTTATTTTCTATGGTCACACCACCCTGTTTGAAGGGCCAGAACAAATTGCCAAATTAAAAGTTAAGCCTAAAAGCATCCCAGCCTAAATACCGACATGAACAGTATTTGAACAGGAATGGTGATTCTGGAACATGCTGTGCTCCAGCACAATAATGTCATTCCATCATCAGCTCTATGTTGATTGAATAATCTGCTTCTGTCACAATCACTTCCCCATGAGTCATTCTCACTTACACTCATACACACACACACACACACACACTTCATTACACAAAAACAACAGCCTCAGGTCTCCACACTGAGCCAAGTTCAGGCCGGGTTGCGTCTGACAGTAAGCTGATATTTGTGCCGCTGGTTCAGTGTTTGTTTTAGAGTCAAGTTGCTCTGGGAACATTAGTAAGAGTAATGATGCAACGCATTTCAAATGTGACACGACCAGATTCATCTTGTTCATATATAATGAAGCAATCAAACCCAAGCCAAGACTCCAGGGGCAAGTGAAAGGTTACAGCATGAACTGTAGTTTTGACAGTAAAATCAACCTGCAGCGAGTGTGAAAATACTAAAGTTCAGCTCTGATGGATCTGGTTTATAGCAGAAACTACTGAGCTGTTAAAGTGGTAAATAAAGTCACATTAACACTTGTGAATTAGTTTTTGGCTGATTATAATCCATTACAAACTAAAGGATTCAAGGTAAACCAATGGTAAATCTTCTGACAGCTACAGTATATTACCTTTTCAAATCTTCATTATCATTAGATCTATGATTGTTTATCATGCTTTTGTAAGCTCACAGTAAATACTGTAACAGTGGAATTAGCCGTTATGTAAGTGCATGATAAAAATAGACAGTAAGACATTAGACAAATATAGAGTATTTACAGTAGTTGAAGTCAGAATTATTAGCCCCCACTGTTTATTTTTCCTCCAATTTCTGTTTAATGGAGAAATATATATATATATTTTTTACATTTCTAATCATAATAGTTTTAATAACTCGTTTCTAATAACTTATATTTTCTTAGACATGGTCAAGAAGATCTGCTGCAGCTCAAACCGAGCATCAGAATGAGGAAGGAAGGGGATTTAAATGACTTTGAATGTAGCGTGGTTGTTGGTGCCATACGGGCTGGTCTGAGTTTTTCAGAAACTGCTGATCTCCTGGAGTCAATAATTTGGGGTCAGTTATTATAACTGTGTAGTTATGCCTTGAGTTGTGTGTTTTGTGTGGTAGTATTGTGTAGGGTTTCACACTGTTACATCTGTACATAGTTCTGTATTTTATGCTGTAATGAAAATCAATAATGATATTTAAATAATAACAAAAGTGTTATAATAGAAATAACCGTGATAAATTGGGTCTTTATAATCATCATATGATATTTCCATACCGCTAAATCTCTTTTATATACCGCTCCATTCAATCAAAGTCATGCCACTTTCAAGAGGAATTATTTGAAGAGTTCTTGTGATATTTTATTACTCTTTCCTACATTATAGCGAATAATCACCCTGCTGAAAAATCCAGCTTAAACCAGCCTAGGCTGGTTGGCTGGTTTTAGCTGATTAACCAGGCTGTCTTTAGAGGGATTTTAACCATTTCCAGGCTGGTTTCCAGCCATTTCCAGCCTGGTCTTAGCTGATCAGGCTGGAAAGTGACCAGCTAAACCATCTAAAACCAGCCTGACCAGCCTGGTTTAAGCTGGACATAGCTGGTTTCGGCTGGACTCCCAGCTTGGCTAGGCTGGTCAAGCTGGTTTTAGCTGGTCATCTCCCAGCCTGACCAGCTAAGTGGCCAAAACCCCTCTAAAACCAGGCTGGTCGACCAGCTAAAACCAGCCAACCAGCCTAGGCTGGTTTAAGCTGGATTTTTCAGTAGGGCAGTGGTGTGACAAATGTGAGATGTGTGAAGAATGTTTGGTCGTGTTAATAGCGTAGTGTGTGTTATGGAGAAACTCACTGTACGTGCTGAGGAGACTCTCAAACTGAGCCACCAGGCCGACTGCATGCAGCTGTCTGAGAAAACCTTTATCCTCTAAACCAGCGTACAACCGCATGACGAATCCACACGCCAGCGCCGTCAGCTGCAACACACACACACACACACACACGCTGTTACATAATGTTAAGACAATTCCTGAGGTCAGTCTGGATAATGTTTTAACAACTCGACGATCTTACAGTATAAAACAACATAAGAAAGACATAAAGTGACTGATCTAGATGGTTTCCATCTTTTATCCACATGCAGTTGATTAAAACACTTGATTAAAGATCAGCCAACTATCCTATTAAGTCACTTTATATAATGCAGACTGTTTCAAAAGAGCTACACAGCAATACACGAGTTTCAGCCAACACAGCTCATTGGATAATGTGCATCAGCCTGCATGTTTGTGAAACTGCAAACCAAAATGTCCTTTAACAGCAGTTTCTGGGTAAAATGAACACTAGGGGGCAGTATGACGACAACAATGTTTGTTCCTTTTCCAACTAATGATATTTGCGGGAACATAATCGACAAATAAAAGATTATTCTTTGTGCAGTTCTTTGTAAACACCACAAAAAAATCAGATTTTAATAATTTATAATCTCCATATGGACAACTTTGTTTGGATTTTGTCTTAAAGTTTGCCCGTAGCCCACTTTATACAGCGTTACAGTGCTCAACATATATGAGTACACCCCTCACAAATCTCTCATTTAAAATGATATTTTCTAAAGGAAGCTCTGCAATATTATATTTGTGCATATACATTAGATTAGTCAGTACTGAAGCCAAATCTGGAGCCAATTTAACTAAATAACTGATAACAGTCCAAAATGAGTACAGCCAAATTTATGTTATGGAAAAATATTAAATAAAAATGTAAAAGGAGCAAAATTTAGGAGAAACAAAAAATGTATCAATTTTTGTTGAAATGTAGTTGTTTGTAATATTTTGTCCAATATTTCGCATAAAGGCGACACAGTGGCGCAGTAGGTAGTGCTGTCGCCTCATAGCAAGAAGGTCGCTGGTTCGAGCCTTGGCGTTTCTTTGTGGAGTTTGCATGTTCTCCCTGTGTTCGTGTGGGTTTCCTCCGTGTGCTCCAGTTTCCCTCATAGTCCAAAGACATGCGGTACAGGTGAATTGGGTAGGCTAAATTGTCCATAGTGTATGAGTGTGTGTGTATGAGTGTGTGTGGACTGTATGGATGTTTCCCAGAGATGGGTTGCGGCTAGAAGGGCATCTGCTGCATAAAAATGTGCTGGATAAGTTGGCGGTTCATTCCGTTATGGCGACCCCAGATTAATAAAGGGACTAAGCCGAAATAGAAAATGAATGAATTTGGCATAAATTAAATGTACTATTTCTCTATTTCTAAAGATGTTCTGTGACTACAATATTACTTCAATAAATATATCCGTTTAATAAAACTGTTTTGTTCAAATGCACCAAAATATGACCTATATTCACTGAGAAATGGATAAAAATATTCATTAGCAAAATGGAGTGTGCTCATTTATGTTGAGCACTGTATATTTGAGCTGTAGAGTTTTTGATTTTGTTTCCGATTCCACAAAACAGGTAAAAGCAATGTAAAATCTATATTGCAGTAATGTAATTTTCCCTTACGTTTGCTTTTGACAGTACTATTGGTTGATTTTAGGTCAGTGGTTCACTAGCCAATCTTTACAACAAGCCTTCTCGTGAATGTGTGAAACATGCAACAAAATGTACCCTAATTAATGCATTTCTGATGCAGATATGTAGATAGCACCCTCTAGTGGATTTGCAATCTGAAATGTGCAATGAAAGGTACTAGACGCTGTTTTAAACTGTTTCACGTTTCTTACAAAAATGTATTCTGAGGGCTGTTTTCAGCTGTTACACATTTCAGATTCGCAAAAATGTAGACAGTGTCCTCTTGTGGATTTGTCATCTGAAATGTGCAACAAAACATACTTGACGCAACATATTTTACGTTTCTCACATAAATGTATCTCAAGGGTTGTTTTCAACTATAACTCATTTTAAACTTGCAAAAATGCAGAGAGCGCCCTCTAGTGGATTTGTCATCTGAAATGTGCAACAAAATGCACCATAAGCAACATATTTTGTCACTCACAGAAATGTGCTACGATTGCTATGTTCAGCTATTACGCATTTCAGATTCACAAAAATGCAGAGAGCACCCTGTAGTGGATTTTTCACCTGAAATGTGCAACCGAATGTACCTGAAACAACACATTTTACGCTTCTCATAAAAATGTATCCTGAGGGCTGTTTTCAGTTGTAACGCATTTCACATTTGCAAAAATGTAGACAGCGCCCTCTAGTGGATTTGTCATCTGAAATGTGCAACAAACATATCTGAAGCCATATATTTTATGTTTCTTACATAAATGTATCCTGAGGGCTGTTTTCAGCTATAACGCATTTCAGATTCACAAAAATGTAGACAGCGCCCTCTAGTGGATTTGTCATCTGAAATGTGCAAGGAAATGTACCTAAAGCAACATGTTTTACGTTTGTCACATAAATGTATCCAGAGGGCTGTTTTCAGTTATGAAGCAGCTCTACAGAGGAATAGTGCCATTATCAGCTCAATGTTGTTCAGTTTGGTTCAATGACAGCCAAGGTTGCAATCGATCCAGATATTACCTCTGCAAATGTCCACCAAATATAAAGTCGCCTCAAGGCAAACTTAAAGTTAGAAGGCTTCAGTTCAGTAAACTGCAGTGGGGTTTTCAGGGAGTCACAAAACAAGCTGCTGTTTTTTCTTAAGGACATGCACAGATGAATTGCTCACCATAAAACTAGCAATGTGAGCTAACAAAATCATTATGGCTAGTTTTGATTTCATGAGTACTTTAAATAACAGTTTCATGCAATGAACACCCTCAGTGTGAAAATCTTGTTTTTCTTCTGTGAGACTTACAGCTTGGCTGAAAACGGTGTCTCGTCTCTGCTGGAGCTGCAGACCCTGTGCCGTGCTGCACGCCGCCTCCTGGAGCAGCACAAAGATGACGGAGTGTCTGGCTCTCTCTGCCACATCCAGCACACACTCCTTCAGCGATTGCACCAGGACCCCAAGCTGATCCCGCCAGTCCACCACATCCATGGGGCGATCTGAGGAAAAAACATTCAATTTAAGTTTACTTGTATTAGGGCTGCACAATATATCGAGCGCCGGTTTCACCCACAGTCCAAACACATGCGCTATAGGTGAATTGGATAAGCTAAATTGTCCGTAGTGTATGAGTGTGTGTGAATCAGAGTGTGTATGGGTGTTTCCCAGTACTGAGTTGTATTTTTCAAGATAGTAGTATTCAGATTAAAGTGACAATTATAGACTTAACTAGGTTAATTAGGTTAATTAGGCAAGCCATTGTATAACAGTGGTTTGTTTTGTAGACAATCTGAACATAATATTTCTTAAGGGGGCTAAAAATATTGACCTTAAAATGGTTTTTAAAAAATTTAAAAACTGCTTTCATGCTAGCCAAAATAAAACAAATTAGACTTTCTCCACAAGAAAAAATACTATAGGAAATGATGTGAAAAATTTCTGAATCTGTTTAACATCATTTGGGAAATGTTAATGTTAAATGACTAATAATGGCGACTTCAACTGTATATGCTTGTAATTTGTTATAATTTATGCAGACGCACTTTATAGAAAGAGACTTAATCATCCCAATCATCCCATCCCGAGTGTATTTGTGTATTGCTTAAGATTTCATTCATGATGCCCTCGAAAAAATATCACTTCTGTACCTCCATTTCTCAGAAACCAGCCATCCCAAAAGGCAATTCAGACAGAAACTGGGTTTCCTTCAGAACACAGATGTTCAGTATTAAAGAGTGAATAATATGAGACTGCTGAGTGGTTTTAAGAATACTACTGGGATGATTTGTTTTCTAGGCCCAAATCCAAAATGGATCATTTTAGGCATCTGCCTTCATCGTAGTAGTAAATGGTGAGTACAAGCTTATGTGCTTATTCCAGCTGGGGTCAGTCCCAGCTGGACCAGCTCTGTGTGGAGTTTGCATGTTCTCCTCATGTTGGCAAGGGTTTCCTCCTGGTGCTCCGGTTTACCTCACAGTCCGAACAGGTGAATGGGATAAACTAAATTGGCTGTAGTGTATGTGTGTGTGTAAACGAGTGGGCATTCGCTGCATAAAACATTCATTCTGTTCATTCTAAACTTTGATAAACAAGGGACTAAGATGAAGGAAAATGAAATATATAGTACGCATTTTGATTTGTTTTAAAGTGACAGTTGCTGAAAATGCACCAACTTTCTCAAAATGTAAATATGTTTTCCTATCTGACACCTTCTTACATTTCTGACTGATTATCTAAATACAATCCAAACTGTTTGCTAATCTCTTCTAGCGCTGGACTATTAGAATTTCACTCTGTAAATCTTGACTGCAGCACTGCGCAAGACGTTTGGCCAGTGGAGATATGGTCGTGCCCAACTGAGACTGATTTCTCTCGAGGTTTTTTAATTCTTCATTTTCCCCAATTGTTGAAGTTTTTTCCTCGCCACTGGCTTGCATAGTTCGGGATCTGTAGAGCTGCGCATCAATGGATCGCTCTTCAGTGTTTGGACTCTCAGCAGTGAATAATAAACCACACTGAACTGAGCTTAAACTCTGAGAACTGAACTACACTATTTCAATTTACAATGATCTTCAATGTGAAGCTGCTTTGACACAATCTACAATGTAAAAGCTCTATACAAATAAAGGTGAACTGAAAATTGAATTGAATGCAATCTGGCGGCACCTCTTTTAGTCACTATGCTCCAAAAATTGGGAATTGTCTCCTAAATGTCCTAAATTTTCTCCTAAAAATCCCCCAGCATTCATGTTTTTAAAAAGCGTGTTAAGATGCACCATTTTGAAATAGCATATGAGTAAAACAGTATGTGAAGTGTACGCATTTTATTTTTATTATGTAGGTTTATGTATATATGCATGTATGTATGATGTGTGCATGTATGCACATGTAAGGACTATTGTGTGTATGTGATTGTGTAGATATATGCATATACAGTTGAAGTCAGAATTATTCGCCCCTCTTTGATTTTTATTTTTCTTTTTTCAATATTTCCCAAATGATGTTTAACAGAGCAAGTAGATTTTCACAGTATGTCTGATAATATTTTTCTTCTGGAGAAAGTCTTATTTGCTTTATTTCGGCTAGGATAAAAGAAGCTGTTAATTTTTTAAAGAACATTTTAAGATCAATATTATTAGCCCCTTTCAGCTATCTATTTTTTTCGATAGTCTACAGAACAAACCATTATGTTTAGAAATGTGTTTAAGAAATCTTCTCTCCGTTAAACAGAAATTGTGGAAAAAAATAATAATTAATAACTAATAATTCTGACTTCAACTGTTTGCGTGTACATGTATGCTTTTATCTGAATATATATTTGTTGTTTATTTTGCTTTATTTGTCTAAATATTTAGACTAAATATTTATTTAGATATATTGTATAAATATTTAGACAATATATATGTTTGTGAAGCGCTTTGAGTTGCGTGTATGTAGGAAAAGTATATACAAATAACATTTATTATTATAATTATTATTATTGTTATTATTATTATTACCCGTCATCAACTAAAGCATTTAAATACAATAGAAATTATATTAATATTAATAATTACAGTAGTTTTTTTGTAATTGTTTAAGCTTTAACTGTAAAAATATAAGAGTTAATTTTGTTGTCGATCCTAAATTTACAATCACAAAAAAGTGATTAAAAGGTGGAAAAAATCCATATGGCAAAGAAAAATGCCAGTCAAGTATTGCAGTCAGCATAAAACATGTAAAGAGTTTAGATGCCGTTGTAATGGAAATTCATTTTTAGATGAGCTTTATATGTTAGAAACTTGTCTAAGACTCATTATTAAATGTGTGTGTATCTGTGTTCTCCATATGTTCATCATAAAACCTATGTGTACATTTTTATAGATAACTATGTTTCTTTAGGTGAAAGCTTTTTCATTATCCTAAGAAGGATGTGTGGTTGTTATGAGCATATCGCACGAACAGCAGAAGACGCCTGACGTAATTGTAGATGAGGCCTTATTGAGAGTTGACCTCGTAAGCAGTACAAACCAGATAAAAGGGTGAACACACTTGACTTCAGTATCTCACTCTGCAGAAACTGTTGTTGCTGTATGACTGTGATCTTTGTAAAGAATAAAACTTGTAAAAGACATCCCGGGTAAGACTTTGTTTCTTGACCACTGAGAGCCTCCTTAGAGAAAATAGCCACTACAATTTGGTGTCAGAATAGTGGGATGTCTTGGAGGAACTTTTCCGGACCCTGCGGACGGTGACTGATCATCCTGGGAATTCGTGTCACAGCCCTGCCCCGCAATTGAGGGTTGAGGGGCCGACCGCCGGGCTCGGAGGGGGATCCCACTGACATCTGGGAAAAGAACTCAGTGGCATCTGAACTCTCTGGTAAGAAACAAATTCTTTGTTAATTGTTAAAAAAGGAAATTTAACAAGTTTTGGGTACTTGATTATTGTGATCAAAAATAATTAGAAGGGTTTTTACTGCAAAGATCTGTCTCTGTGGGATAGCGGCGTGATTAATGAAAGTGAGATCGGACATCGGGCGGAGATCGAGATCGTTGTTACAAGTGAGATCTGGCGTTTAGCTGAGATCAAGACCTTATACAAGTGAGATCTGGCGTTTAGCTGAGATCAAGACCTTATACAAGTGAGATCTGGAGTTTAGCTGAGATCAAGACCTTATACAAGTGAGATCTGGCGCATGTCTAAGATCAAGACCTTTTTAATACGTTCGGCTAGCTAACTGCGATTTACTCCCGGGAGGGGGTTGAAATCAGGGGGCTGTACAATTTACTTCCAAAAAGAAGCTGAAATCCAGGCTGTGCGATTTACTTCCAGAAGGAGGTTGAAATCAGGGGCCGGGCGATTTACTTCTAAAAGGAAAGTGAAATTGTGTGCCACGAGAAATAGAGCTGGAAAGCTTAACTTGTCGATTTTAGGTGAAAAATCGAAATCTGTTGGAGACGTCCGACAGATTAATAGGTACCGACAAAGTCCAGGGGAAGTTTTTACCAGCATGGGGACGTCTCAAAACAAAAGATATAGGAAAACTAATAAAGTATCACAAGTTTCTGAGGGAAAGGGAATGTTGAGTGTTACTAGGTTAAACAAATTGAAAGAGTTGATTGAGAAGGCAGAAGGAAAAGCAGTTTGTTTTTGTGAAAGGAATGTGTGTGTGTGTCGTGTGGAGACATTGTTGATTGTTGGCTCAAAAAGGCAGATAAGAGGCAACGAGGAAAATGCTGCTGAGGCAGCTGGCATTTAGGGAAGAGAACAAAGAAGTGTCATGTAGGGAAAAGAATAAAGGAGATAAAGTGAAGGAAAAGCAAGTGAAAAATGTGAAAGTGTGAATGAAAGATTAATTAGCATTACTAATCTTTTCTATACATCTGTTTCCATTCATGTACCGCCGTACCATCACTATCCCGTGGCTGAGCTGCGAGCCCTGAGAACTGACCCAGACCTCAACTGCTACTGTCCCAGAAGACCTCCGACCGCACCAACGAAATTCCCACCTCGAGCGAGTGGAGGACATCTGTTTGAACTGGAGAAATGGACATTTAACGGACATTCTGCTGTGTGCTCAACATGCTGAAGACAAGCTGACAGTGAAGCAAGAACAAGACAAGAAGAAAGCAGAAAGGCAGCTGTGCATGGCTCTGATACAAGTGGCCAACCAAAGATCCAACCAAGACCTGACAACCAAAGATATCGCAAGTTCAAAGACGACAAAGGTGTCAAGGGTGAGAAAGATACCAGAAGATGGAGAAACTGGAATGTGACGGATGGCGATGAAATCTACAGAGCCTGTGGGGTACGTGACGAAAAACTGTACCAAATGTCTGCGCTTGCCACCGAGATGGACTTTTGGTCAAGGATTGACCCGAAAGGCGCAAACCAACAACGGAGCTGATGTTCGGAGAGGGAAGAGCAGAATGGAGAGGGTCTGGGCAAGCAGCCAACAGCTACAGTAAAGGGAAGTGAACATTTTTTACTAACATGTTTAAATGCAGACACATTTTTA